TAATTTTTGGAGTTGGTAGGTTTTGTTATTTTTGTTTTGTAGGGCTTTTGCTTTTGGAGTGAGGAATGGTGGGAGCTGGATAAGGCTAAAAATCACATTTGGGCAGCCTCTGTTAATTCTATAATCATTAATTAGTAGGTGTGTGATAATAAACCAATATTTTTGTCAATGCTCCCTGTTTTGTAGGAAATTCAACAACAAAGAGCTGCTCAAAAACTGATCTATACCTTCAACCAAGTGAAACCACAAACCATTCCCTACACGCCAAGGTAAGGAAATCTCAGCACCCTAGTTTTTCTTTTAACATTGAATTTTTATCAATTTCTTCTAAGCCCATTACTCATAAGAAATATCAGACCTATGCGGAAGTTTTTTATGACCTTATTTTGGGGTTCTTCCTTCCATAGTCTTGGAGACTGGTAAAAAGAGAATTAAACATCCTAAGAATACCTTGGCTTAAAGAAGTTGAGGCAGAGGCCATGACTCACATTTTAATTACGCAAAACAGCAGGTCCTGGGTGTAGATACTAATGTCCAGGAGCATTATGGTAGGAAAACATTTCTATTTTCAGCATAGTTTCTTCCCTCAGTATCTTATAGAAATTAAGAACTTTGTTAAGAGTGAACACTTGTTACATTCACTTGAGTGTCTTCATGCCCTTCCATTTATTTGTCAAGACAGATCATAATTTGGTGCTGAGGACTTATAGTAAAGCTTATTATTTCATTTACAAGGAACTTTTTAGAGCATGGCAAGAAAAGTTGGGTCTGGTACTCATAAAAGAGTTGGAAAATGTCCTCAAAGAGAAGGGAGGCAAGAAAGCATTGGGAAAAAACTCCCAATCTTTTGCATTCTATCCCTTCCATGGTAAGGGCAAGGGCCTGTGCATTGGGGCTGCATCAGACCAGAGTTAGGTAATCTCCTCTGCTGCTTCTGGATGAGTGTTTGATAAGGTAAGTCCCACTGTTGCTGTCTTGTGGGAGATTAATGGCCTCTTTTTCTCTCACAGGTTCTTGGAAGTTTTTTTAATCTACTGCCATTCTGCCAACCAATGGTTGACCATTGAGAAGTTTATGACGGGGGAGTTCCGGAAGTACAACAACAATAATGGTGATGAAATCACCCCCAGCAACACCCTGGAGGAGCTGATGTTGGCTTTCTCTCACTGGACCTATGAGTATACTCGGGGAGAGCTGCTGGTTTTAGATTTGCAAGGTGATTTATGATGTAGGAGTCGAAACAACAAGCATGAAGCAAACTTCAAAGAGCTCTTGCAAGAATCAGGATGGGCGATGTACCTAGCTTTGAAGGGAGGTGGGGGCATTTATTTCAGAGACATTATGCAGTGATGATTATGCATACTTAGTATGTTGTTTACCACTTAGATAGAGGGAAACATAAGGGCAGGTAATTAGCTGCTTAAAATTTAAAGGCATCTAAAATTTTGAACTAAATGGAGAAAGATTTTTGTTTCAAAGTTTTCAGTGTTATGGCTTTACGTTCACAATAAAACTTAGAGATTAATTTATACACATAGGAAAGTTTAAATTCTGGACATTTTTCATGGTTTTCAGCTCATTGCTTTAGCAATTTATAATTTAACTTGCTCTCTTTGCTGTATCCCTTGATATGACAGTTCATGAAAGTACACACTCTGTCTGAGAGAGGAAACGCAGTGCATTCTTATTCAATGGAAGCCTTTGATCAGCACATCTCCCCACTATCAACACCTCACATGTGACTTATAATCCTGCAGCACAAAACAGAGTATCTCCAGCAGGCTTTCCTTGCAGGGACAGAACAAAATATGTATTAAGGTCAAAGTTTAGTCCTTGGACTCACTGACTGGGGCTTTGGTTTTAAATAAGGGATTTAGCCCAGAACTTTCATAGAAATTATCTCATTTAACCCTAGAAACAGCACCTTGAGGTAGATATTATGGGGAATTTAGGCCCAGAAAGTTTAAATAACTTGCCCAAGGTTGCACAGCTACTTAAGGGAGAGCCAGGAAGCAGACTTAAGCTGGTTTGGCCATCCATGTTCTTTTTTTTTTTTTTCACTATACTGTTTTTTATTTCTTTAAGAGTTTCATACCCAGAGGACATAACATCTCATGGTTCATTTAAACAACTTGGGCCTTTTGCTTGTCCCCTCTGACTTTCTCAGCTCTCCAGTTCTAGGATTCTATGCTGAAAGCCAGGGTTGGAGGCTGTGGAAAGTTGAGATGAACAGACAATCCTGGGGCACTGTGACCGATGTCCAGTAAGACTGCAAAGTCACTTTGATTGAAATTTGAGTCACATGCTCAAGGATGTACGTGCACTTTTTAAGCAATGTATAAGCACTGCTGTCCTTTGAGATTTCTGTGGTTCACAGGGTTAAATTTTATTTCTACCCCTCAAACACAATGTTTTAGGAAGCAATATAAACAAAGTTAAAATGACCAAGATGATTCAGTTTTTAAAGCAGCAAGTACTTGATCCATATAAGCCCAGAGTGCTGATGCCCAAGGCATCTGTTTTTGTAGCTCAAGTTGGGGAGAGGTTGATTGTTTTCATCTGTACTTGACTGTTTGTGCTTTGAGTTTTGGGTGGAGTTGATTAAAAAGCAAAAACAAAAACAAAAAAACAACCAAAGAAAAACTTTAAGGAATTAATGATGACTCTTCAGTGTGTTTTGTATTCCACTTGAATAGTTCATCTGTACTTGACTGTTTGTGCTTTGAGTTTTGGGTGGAGTTGATTAAAAAGCAAAAACAGAAACAAAAAAACAACCAAAGAAAAACTTTAAGGAATTAATGATGACTCTTCAGTGTGTTTTGTATTCCACTTGAATAGGTTTTTGTTTAATGATGTTTATGTTTGGGGATTTTTATGTCTCTTAGTAATCCAAAGTGACATTAAACAGAACAAATGCTGTGTTGATAGTCTTGGGGGGAAAAGGGAATTAACTTTATTCTTTTACTGGGCAATTATGTGAATTGCAGAAATAGGCCACTCCAAATAAACGATGTCAAAACATTGACCTTCAAAGAAGGGAAGGTTGGACATCATAGAATAAACGTGATGAAATTTGAGATACTTATTGCAGGGTTTTGGCCAATTGGTTAGGTCTGAATTTATGAAAGAACATGAATCTTATAATAGTAATTATAAACTCTACTACTGCTGTACTAGCTAACATTTACTAAGTGCTTATTTTATGCCAGGCACTTAGCTAAAGGATTATATGCATTACCATATTTAATCCAAACCAGGTTAGAAAGGAAAAATGAGGAAAATATAATGTATTTTTAAAGTCTCTTAATGGTTTTTGGTAAATACAATGTGTATTGTATTTAATTTATTTGTATTGCTAGTCTTTGGAGTGATGGCATGTGCTGTCTGGATGGTGGGAGAGGAGATTGAGAGGCTCAGTAGCAGTTAGGAGGGGAGCTCTGGAGTTGCGGCGCTGGAGCCTGACTCCTGGCTCCACCATGAATTAGGTGCATGACCCAGGGGGCGACCACCTTGGGTCTCACTTCCCTCATTTGTAAATGGGGAAGATAACGCTATGCACTTAAGTCATAGGGCTGTTAAGGGGCTGAAATGAGATAAATTCCTGACACAGAGTAAGTCCTCAATAAATGTTAGTTGTTGTTGTTAGTATTAATCTCTGTGTGGCTCTTTCAAATAGAGGTTCATCTTCAGTTGTGGGGAGTCTACCCTCAGTTATGTGGTTCTGGTGGCATTGCAGGAAGACCCCAACTTTGGCCTCTGTAATGTAAGTCCTTGGCCTGCTTGCTGCAGCTCCCTACTGCTCTGAGGGAAGGAAGGAGTGAGAAATACTAGGGGAAGTTCATTCTTTCATTTTCTTCTTTTCTTGTCCTCTTTACTTTCTTCCAAGGCAGTGCCACTCTTTAACCCAGAAGCTGCCACACCAGGCTGGGAAGCTGAACTCTAAGGAGAGGCTTGACCAATTTCCAATCATTTGTAATTATACTGAAGTTTTCTGGTCTCTTTCCACTTAAAAATCCTACATGTGAGGGCCTGAATCATCATCATTACACTTGAAATCCAACATTTAATTCCCAGAAATGAAAATTAAAAACAATTGTATTTCAAATGACAGTGGTTGGTAGCTTTGTTGTTGTTGTTGTTAGCTCATTGTTTTTTTCAAAAGACTTCTGGAGATATTAAGTGTTCATTCAACAAAGCAGTTTCCAGAATTGGCGTTAACGTCAACATCATCATCATGAATTCTTTACAAAGAAGTTCACTTCTTTCTTCACACATAGAAGTTCATTGATGTGTCCAAAGGTGGTCAGGATCAGAATGCAAATCTCTGGGTTTCTCATAAGGGTGTGCTACATATTACCTGGCCAAGGGCATTTACTCTGTTACAGTAAGTAAAGAGATATCATTGGGATTTTTAGATGTTTAAGTGCCTGATTTTTTCCGTATTTTCCAAATATCAAGTAAAATATGAGGACAGGAGGGGCTCTG